AAATGGCTTTTCCTATTTAATTATATTTCCATGGAAAACTCTATTGCATTTCCGTTCGTATGAAACTCACTAAGGTGATTAAGAAACATCACATCAGCATGTTTAAGTGCTGCGATTCCTCCTATTCAGGAAGTTCCCATCACTGCAGTAGGGAAAGTGGAAGGCTACAATGTTTTGAAGTCTCACTCTCAGGGATGCAGGATGTTAAAACATAAAAGCATTGTTGGAACACTCATGCTTGGGAAGGGAGATCCTAAGATTATCAGAGGCTGGCAGCAGAAGCTGCAGGAAGGCAACCTTGCACAGACTCCAGGATGGGGAAGAATCTAGAATGGAGCCCCAGGAGCATTCAGTGGGAAAAGGTGCTGGCTACCAAGTCTAACGACTTGAGTTCAATCTTCGGAGCCCACATAGTGGAGGAGAGCAATGTCTCCTGCAGATGTCCTCTGGCCTCCACATGCAAGTATGTAGTGCACACGCACGCACACGCACACACACACACACACACACACACACACACACTTTAAAGATTCTTTGACACTCTCATTTGAAGTGTTATTTTTGGGGGGCTGGAGAGATAGTCCAGGGGTTGAGAGCACTGGCTGTTCTTCCAGAGGACCCGTGTTCAATTCCCAGCACCCACATGGCAGTTCAAAACTGTTACTCCAGTTCCAGGGGACCTAACACCCTCACACAGACACACACACACAGGCAAAACACCAATGAACATAAAAGTACATAAATCTTTAAAAAAAGATTATTTTTATTACCAGCACCATCCTATTCTATTTTATTAAAAGATTCTATTTGAATTTTTTTTTTTAAAAAAAAAAACCTTCATAACTTACAAATGAACAGCAACTGTTCTCCAGCTAAAATTTCCAAAGGGGAAAATTCCTCCTAACATCCCTCAGTAGGGTCAGGTATGAGACATGAAGGCATGTTTTACATTTCCTTAAATCTCTCACCTCTTACTCTCCAGAGACAGAGGTTTTAAACCTAGGGGCCAAAGCGACCTCTAAACCAGCTCTTGTGAGCCCCTTGCTGGGCGGTTGCACAGGCAGGCAGTCTAGGGTCACTGTCAGCACGCTGTGCTGGCTTGGGCGGGTCTGGGTCTGTGTCACTGGTCCTGCAGGCTGCACACCATGCAAGCTCCACCAGGTCAAGTGCACAGGAGGCCAAGGGTTCTCCCGTTGAGCACTTCGCATCAGTGCTTTGATGAAGTCTGTGTCTGGTACATGGCTTACATATGATTGCATCTGTGTTGGGGGTGCATGCGCCTATGTGATACACATATGAAACCAGAGGTTTTCTGTCCTCTATCATTCTTGACCTTATTCCACTAACAGGGGTACCTCACTGAACCTGCCATTTCCTGGCTAGGCTAGTGGCTTGAAAGCCCACCCCTCTACCCCTGGTGATGAAGTCACGGTACCTGTGAACACACTCTTCTTTTTAGGGGTCCTCGTGCTTACACAGCAAGTGTGCTCTTACCCATGGAGCCATCTCGTCACGTGCAAAATAGTGAATTTTCATCTTAATAAAGAAAAACTGCAGTCCTTACCATGCCCTTCACGGTCGTTTCCATCCACCGCTTTCTCTCGCCGGTTCCCACACTTCCACAGGCACAAAACCAATGTGGAATAAGCAGTTAACTCAACAGTGCTGAACATGTGATGGGGAGTCCTCCCGTGCCCTTCAGTATTTTATCTGAGTCCTCAGAAAAACAAACTGCCATCACCGCTACAGCATACAGGTGAGTACGAGGCCCCAGGAATCAGCGACATCACAGGGCTTGTGAGCACCACAGGCGAGACTTGAGCCAGAGGCTATTGGACTCTTTAAGGGGTGCGTCCCCATTCCAGTCTGCAAAGCACAGGTTAAGAAGCACAGTAAGATTACTCAGCTACTGAGTGGCAAGCAAGGTGGTTATCCTAAAAGGCAGGTATTTAATCTCCTGGTGAAAAAGAAGGGGCCATGGTCAAGAACAGAAATGTGTGTGTGTATGTGTGTGTGGGGGGGGTGCTGGAAAGGTTCTACCTCTGGGCCCCACTGCCGATGTCAATAGAAGTGTTTCCCACATTCCCAGATGGATGCCGTCTTACAAGTTAAGATAAATTGCTGCCTAGTGTATTTTTGCTAGTATTTTTAGCGCAAATAAGGGTTAAGAGTATCCAGGAATGGAAGAATCTGGATGTCGAAAGCCCTTCAGGATTTAAACAATGCTGATAGCTTGAGAAAGATTACTCCAGAAGGAAGCATGTGTCAGGGAGCCAGGCACCAGTGAGTGAGTGAATCGGGGCAACTCTAACAGGTCAGGGTGGTGATGTGAGATGTCCTTCTGTATATGTGCTGCTTTTACTGGTTGACAAATAAAGTTGCTTTGGCCGATGACTTAGCAGAGTAAAGCTAGGCTGGAGGATGTTGGGTATAGGTCTTCCCTTTGTTCCCGGCATTTCGGACCTGAAATAATCACTCAGAAACTATATTATTTGCAATACTGCTTGGCCAATAGCTTAAGCGTATTTGGCCCTTGTATCCTAAACTAACCCATCTCCATTAATCTGTATATTGCCACATGGCTGTGGCTCCCTGGGTAAAGTTCTGTTCCTGACATCTGTCTCCGGTGGGGCTAATAGCTTTTCCTTGACTCTGCCTTCTTACTCCCAGAATTCAGTTTAGTTTCCCTGCCTAGCTCTATTCTGCCCTATCACAGGCCAAACATCTTCTTTATTCATTAACCAATAAAAGAAACACATATACAGGACTTCCCACACTAGGAAGAGATATAGAGAGAGAGTGGGTGGGGTCAAAGAGACACCATGTAGCTGCCAAAGGAGAAAGACACCAGAATAGAACCTTACCTGGTAAGCTACAGCCCCATGGCAATACACAGATTAATAGAAATGGGTTAGTTTAAGATGGTAAGAGTTAAGAAGCCTGAGATAATAGGCCAAACAGTGTTGTAATTAATATAGTTTCTGTGATTATTCGGGTCTGGGTGGCCGGGAAATGAAAGAGCAGTCTCCTACAGGTAGAATTCTTCCAGTGCTCAGCTCCCCAAGCACCAACGGGTCAAGGGTGGAATTCTTCCAGTGCTCAGCTGCTCCCAGGGCACCTCTACAAGAGTCAGAGGTGGACTTCATCCAGGGCTCAGCGGCTCCCTGGGCACCTCTAACCAGTCAGAAGTGGGTTTCGCCCAGTGCTCAGCAGCTCCCCAACTTGAGTACACTCATTAATCATCCCGGTATTTTATGCTATAGGTCTTCAGAGCAGGATTTACGACTATGCTTTTCATTTCAAAAGTTTTAGTTTCAATCTATTTCAGGCAGTCTCATGACACGTGAATTCTCTACTTGCTTTAGCAAAGACACAGTTGGTTCACTGTCAAGACTTTCCCAGAGCAGTGAGCTTTTTGACCTGGCTACCTCCACAAAGTTACCCCAAGTACAAAATGGGAAACTAAGTCACAGAATAAAGGAGGCATCAGGGACATGGGCTCGAGAGGAGTTGATGCTTTGGCTTGCTTGGCAGGGTGGTGGGAAGATAAGCAGAAAAGGAACTTGCTGACAAGCCCTAAACTTAAGGTATTTCGTGAAAAACTGATAAACAGATGTTGTATGGCAATTTCCATGGGTTTACTCCAAACTCTTTGTTTCTGCAGGGAGGACACACCAATTATCCTGCCTCAAGCTCTGACTGGTTGTAGTCAAGGGCATGCAGGAACAACACACCAACACATTTTCAAACAGAATTTGAAAATGTGCACTCTAGACTCCAACATGCAAAGGTATCCAGAGATAGGCCAGAGGTATAACGGATGGGACGGAGGAAGACCACCTGTCAGAATGCACACGCTCTTCAAGTCCTGACAGAGCTGAGCTCCCATAATCCCATTGTAAGAAAAAAAAATCATAATTTAAAATTGAACACAATACTTTAAAGTCAAAGGACTCTGTGGAATCAACTGTGAAGTTGGGGATTCTCTTTTTAATCTTTGAACAGTGTGACAAGGTCCAGATGGGCATCAATCAAGGGCTGGAATTTGTGGCCTATGACATCATGGCAGGCAGGTTTTCTATTGGCCAATCATGCTTATATACTGTTAAAAAACGGTTCTACAAAATATCGTTATTAAAAACACTAAACTAACCCATTCTCCTAACACTATATTTATTTGCAATCCAGATTATGCGAAAGTGGGAATCCCATCGTCCCCTCCCAGGTGTGTGGGCACAATAGTCTAAATACTCACAAGGGTAGTGGTTAGCATTACATGTGTAAGCTTAATGAGGCACTATAGGGTTAAGCAGACAAATGGTTCCAATTATACTTTAGTGTTCACTTTCAGTCAAGCTAAATAACTCAAGGGAGACAACACATTCAATAATTTATGAGCATAAATCTGTACTCGCTATTTATTGCTACAAAAGATGAATTTAAAAAATGCTGTGGCCAACAGTATGTGTCTGTGAGCTAGGAATTACGGAGCTCCTCTGAGACTGAGACTACAGTTTAGTGGTAGAACGCTTGCTTAGCATGAAGGCCCTGGTTCTGATCCCAGGTACAGCAACAGATCAACAAAGCTCTTTGGATAGATACGACTCAGAGGCCTCCGAGAGGTGACAGGCAAAGGTTGGCAGAGACCAGAGCAGAAAGATCCATCTCTAGGGAATCTCATTTGAAAGGCTGGCAGTAAGCACAAACAAGATCCTCAGGGATCCCTGCCCTGTGACTGAGCACAGGAGCCACAGCATTGTAATGATTACTTACGTCCGCTTTGTTTCAGTGGGCTGCTCCAAGAGCTGGAAGGTCAGCCAGCCTACAACCGACTTACAAAGATGACTACTTCTAAACATGTCTGAGACGGAAACAGTGGCACACGCTTTAATCCCAGTGCTGGGAGACAGAGGCAGGCGGTTCTCTAACTAGAGGACAAGTTCCAGGACAGCTAGAACAACAGGAAACAAAAAACAAAAACAAAATAACAACCACCAAAATAGCTTCTGCATTTTTTATTTAGGAAAGGAGTGGAAAGAAGGCAGAAATGAGGCTACCTGACGGAAGGTTATAGCTGACCATAGGCATCTTCCAGGTGAACGGTCAAGACCACAGATCCCCACCCCAAACATGCTCACTGTGAGTAAAAACTCTAAGAACTCTGGGTCCATCTGTAGGTAACACTGTTACTAAATCGCTAATACAGGTTTTAAACAGACCGGAGAGAAGATCACAGGTGCTGAAATAAGGGCAACACTTCACCTAAGCAGTATCAGCATTATCTAGATCCTGCTAAGGATCAGTTCCCAGGGGACAACTGGCTGTCAAGGTGGCAAACAGTTGAGTTTCTCAGGGGCATGAAGAACCCTGCGGAGAGCAATCCCCAACGGGGATGTGTCATCATAAGGCAGCTTGGCTTCTACAGCTTATAAAACACCATATCAAAAGCTGAGCTCCAAGGAGGGTTGCTTTTAGGTTCGGTACACACAAATCTCTGTATGTGGTGACTTGGGCTAGAAGTCTATACCTTTCAGATAAGATAAGACCCAACGAACCTAAAACCATAGATCCAATTATTAAGATGCAAACGACTCATTTTTTACAAGAGGTACTTTTAAAATCCCACACGCTATTTACTGCACATAAGCAAACTAGGAAATGAAGGAAACTAAGATCAGTGGTGGAAGAGCCGGAGATCCGTGTGAGCCAAGACGATCCCCAGTTCATCGCATGCCTCGATCACAACCTTGTCTGCAGCAGATCCAGATGGCGCAACAATGTAGGCCACACCACTCTGCAGAGGAAAACCCCAAAACCAATGTTGACTTTCAAAACACAATGCCATGTATACCTAGCAAAAAACAAAATTCCTCTCTAAAAAGCAGAAGCCAGGGGTAGAAGAGATGGTTCAGCAGAGTACTAGCTACTCTTCAAAAAAACAATCATCTGTAACTACAGTTCCACGGCTTCTTCAAGCAGGCACACACACACATATATATATATAAAGGCAGTCCAAACAATCACAATTATATATGATAAAATTTGATTATAAATAAAAATAAATATATCCTTTAAAAAAGCATAACTAACAATGACATATTCATACAAAGCAACAGAATTTGGGTTATGCCTATATCACACAGAAAAGTGAAATAATTCTCCATTTGTATCAAATCAAGAGCTTTAATATGCAGCTCTAAGTAACTTAAAACATCAGAAGCACAACTTTTTTTGTGGTGCTGGGACTGACCCCGAGACCAGGTGCTCTATGCCACACCCCCAGCCTCAAAGGCAGATGCCTGAAATGGCTTCTAAAATTCTGTGTCCCCAACACACACAGATTCTCACTTACCCTTTTAGCTCGGTCTACGTTATCCCTGAAAGGAAAGAAGGCATCGGAGCTGACAGAAACGTCTCTCAGTTTGTCGACCCATTCCTTTTTCTCTGCCTCAGTGAGTAACTCGGGGACTTCCTCAAACAGTGCCTTCCACTTCACCAGGTCTTCTCCCTAGGGAGCCAGGGGCAAGGTGAGCTCAGCATCACCGTCAGCTGTATCCAGTGGGAAGCATAAGGACAGAATCCAACTGGGCGTTTTCCTGTGACTGCTCACTAAACAACGACTAACTCAAGTTCCCATTTCCAGAAGCTCTTTGATGTTTAAAAACATATTCATAAAGGAAAGATAAGTCTTAGATTAAAAAGAGATTATACCTTGTAACTCAGTTTATCCCAAACCCACCATGTTCCCAAATCTCTAAGTTAAACCTGTAAGTTTATACGTTTAAAATGACCCTTCATCTCCAATCTAGGAGCAGATGGTAACTGATGTCTGTGCAGTTAAACTACACATATACAGCTGTCTTGAGTATAAAGTCAGCATAGGCAAATCAAAACACAATTCATGGTATTCACTACTGCCTGGATGTTTGTGTTACTTTACTCTGAAGTTTACTGCAATGTAACCCTCAGTGCAAAGGGATTAAGAAGCAAGGCCTTCATCAGGCCGAGGCGGAACACGTCTGTAATCCTGGCACTAGGATCTGAGTTCCAGGTCAGTCTGCATTACAGAGACGACCTTATCTCAAACTAACAAAACTTAAAAAAAAAAAAAAAAAGCAGACTGTGACCTTATCTCAAACTAACAAAACTTAAAAAAAAAAAAAAAGCAGACTGTGCCTTGAGAACATTCTTGTTGAAAACAGAAAAGGCACCAAGCCACACTAAGTTGCTACTGGCCTATGTAAGTACAGTAGAAGAGAGCCCCTGGCGATCAGCTATCAGGACAATAACAGTTCAAGTTTAATACACAACACAGCCTCTGTTGATACCAGGAGATGGGTGGAGAACAGTCCTCGCAATGGCAATAGTATAACCTGCAGGGGAAGCACGGGCGTACAGAACTAATCTAATATTCATAACCCAAGAAGCAGAGGCTTGTGGTTTCAGAAGGGCACAGCAGTACAAGTGACAGGGTTCAGAAGGTATTTTAATTTTAATGGTTTCAGACAATCCAGAATTTCTAGAAAGTCTTTCTGTAGTAACACCGTGAAAGTTTGTCCCAAACAGTGAACGAATTCACACAGCCCACCAGGAACTCAATCAGCCCGTACCTCACCAATGGTTCCCGTCACATACTGATCAATGGCATTAGAGATTTCTGCTCTCTTCACCCCGGTTTTAAACTTCATGGAAAGCACTCGTGGATGGTGTCGGAGCCACCATGAGTTTGCCTTATCACCTGCAAGGCGTGTGCAGTGTATCCGAGACTGCTGTCCTGCTCCGATGCCGATAACCTAAGAACAGACACTTCCTTTAGGATGCTGGTAGTGAGACGCACACTCTGAACGGCTCTGCTGGCTCCAAGACCCAAGGACCAGTGTACACAGCCGATCAAGACTTAGTGATGAAAATCAACTATTTTAATAGTTGCCTTCTACAAAAGTCCTGAAAGGCCCTTCTGAATCATATGCTAGTATCTCTTTGGCCTTAACAGCCACCACAACTGTAACCTGTAGGTTAAACATGAATCACCAGAAGACACATTGGAGCATGCCGCTGAAGTTGTATTAAAATCAGGCTCACTCAAGTTAGGAAAGACCCTAGGGATGCACTGGGCCAATGCTGCATCCCACGGCTGGGATACATGGTTAAGAGGTGTTCACTACCAGAGCTAGCTAAATGGCTCAGCAGGCAAAAGCACCTGCCCTGCAAGCTTGGCAACCCCAGTGTGAGCCCTGTCACGGAAGTACAGAACTCCTCACGCTGTCCTGAGATCTAACATGTGTCAGGGTATGTTTACAACCTTATATTCTATCCCCCATATCCTCCCTCTCCCCAACAAAAATTTAAAAATTTATTAAAAATAAATGCTCAATACTGACACAATTTAACCTTAACAATGGAGTTTTATGCCCCAATTACACCCACAGCAAGCTGAACAGAAGTTCGAATGTCCAAAAGGCACTTAAGGTCATGCTCAACCTCTTTAGCAATCAGGGAAATGCAAATCAAAACAACTCTGAGATACCATCTTACACCTGACAGAATGGCTAAAATCAAAAACACCAATGATAGCCTATGCTGGAGAGGATGTGGAGTGAGGGGAACACTCATCCATTGTAGGTGGGAATGCAAACTTGTGCAGCCACTGTGGAAATCAGTGTGGCGGTTTCTCAGGAAACTGGGAGTCAACCTCCCTCAGGACCCAGCAATTCCACTCTTGGTATATTCCCAAGAGATGCCCTATCATACCACAAAAGTATTTGTTCAACTATGTTCATAGCTGCACTATTTGTAATAGCCAGAACCTGGAAACAGCCTAGGTGCCCCTCAATAGAAGAATGGTTAAAGAAGATGTGGAACATATACACTCTGTCTCAAAAAGCAAAAAGCAAAACCAAAATCAAACAAAATAACCAAATGGCAAATAGCCTCTTGCAGATCCACACTGTACTGATAGCAGAACAAATCTAAAGCTAAAACGCCCCACTTTCTGTTACTTTAATTTGGGAGTGATCTGGGAGTGGAGAGATGACTCAGCGGTCAAGAACACTGCTTTTTCAGAGGACCTGGATTCAATTTCCAGCACCCACATGGCAGTTCACACCTGTCTGTAACTCCAGTTCCAGGGGACCCAACACCCCCACACAGACATATAGGCATGCAAAACACCAATGCACATAAAATAAAAGTAATTAATTTAAAAAGAGTTGGGGATGATCTATCTTGTCTGTAGCAGTGGCCACATAACCACAGAATTAAAAAAAAGTACATTTAAAACTGATAAATTTCACTGTGTGCAAATTATTTTTTAAGAAACCAAGCATGAAGGCGGCAGAGGCAGAGGGGACCCTGAAGTTCAAGTTCCTGTCTCAACACGTGCAGGCTGCCCTTTCAACAAATTCTCAAACAGAACCCAGGAGGCAGGGGCAGTGTGTGGCAGAGCAACTGTGAATGGGGTTTGACTCACAAGGCTACAGAAGACTAAATAAATAAAAGGTAGGGTAAGAAACATGTCAGAAACCCTGCAGGCTGCACACACAGCCCGATGACTGGCAGCACAATTCTTTCCTTTCCTGTTCCTTGTCAATGGAAATACTACCAGTGACGGGCAGCGGGGATGGGTGTGTGTGTGTAGAAACAAGTTCCACAAATCCAAAATGAGCCAGCTCATTCTAAGCAAAAGTCAGTGTAACCAACTCTAGTACTTGGCTCCGGCCTGCTGTCTACCACAGTGCCGAGTAAGCACTGACAAACCAGGAGAGGATCTGGCAAAACTTTTCTTTCAAGCACCGAGTACCCGAGGCGGATGGGCTTTGGGACACTGTGCAACAACGGTGCCCGTGGGGGGCTGATGGCGTGGTTACCTGTCCGTCCTTGGCATAGCACATGGAGTTGGACTGAGTGTACTTGACAGCGACAGTGGCCACAATGAGGTCTCTGAGGGCAGACTCCGGCAGCTGAAACAAACGGGATGCTTAAGTCTCACCAGGCTTTTGAAACCTCATTAACTTTAAGCTACGGATACACCAGTGTAACAGACCTGTAACGCAGTCTGGTCCCCGAGTGACAGCCAGATGAACGAGTCATGCTTTACTAAAGACTGAAATACGCTAGCGTATCTGTGACTAACACAGTGCAGTACCCATGTGTCACCCTCAAGCTAATGGCGACTGTTCAGCAACAAGCTGTGAAATATGCCATTTATTTTAATAAGACATTTTTTAACCAGAATAATTAATAATAACTTAAGATAAAAGACTTAGATTACATTTCATCTGTTATGTACTGTGATTCCCACACAGCCAATGTATTCTGGAAAAGTCAAATTATACCATCTTTTTGCTTTGCTGAGAACATTTTAAAAAGCTATTTAAAAATATTCTGCAAACTCTAAGCCAACATTCAGCAGTAAGTCTGTAATAGCCCCAAATGTCACTTCCTCTGATACAGATCAGAAAGGAGGACGATGATCCACGTGTGTATGCTAAGTAGATAAAGGGTACTGACTACCCAAAGAGAAAACATGATGCCTGCCATCCCAGGAAACGGCACCCAGAGGCTGATGCAGGAGCATCTGGGCTCCCAGTCCATGCTAGACTACAGAGTTAGAGAAAAAAGGATGAAGTTATACTGTTTATATAAAAAAATGAACATAAGTGAGGATAATCATATTAAGTAATAATAAGCCACTCCCAGAAATACAAATATTCTGTTTGTGGTGCCATGCACAGTGTGTGTAATATAAAGAAAACTGTGTAGAGGAACAAAGAGGACCAAACAGAGCGGGAGGACTAAAAGGTGTGGGGGTGGAGGGTGGGGGCAGGGATACGGTCCACACACAACAGACCGTGTAACATGTCCTTATGCTACAGAGGGCTATATGCAATTAAAACTTAAAAATAACCAAAAAGGTAAGCCTGGCTTCATCCCAATTAGCTTCTTTAAAAGAGGAACAGAATGGAGAGTACACGAGAACTCCCCGGCTGCATGTGAACCTACACTTTTTAAATCCCAAAATTCGAAGTTTTAGAAGATTTTTAAAAGAATTTACTATTCCAGGACATTAATCTATCCTTCATCTTTTGTTTGAGCCAACAAGTACAATCTGGGTCCATAAAAAGCTAGCCTCTTAGAAGTCACCTTCAATACAGCCCTGGCACTCCCTGGCATTCTGACTCAGATCAAAGGATACGAGAAATGCCTGTGCGGGGATGTGAGGAACCTCAGCCAGCTAAAGCACCATTTTTCTGAAAAAAGATAAGGCTTTCAGTGTGTGCAGCTTCCCCTGCCCAGCAGTCAAGGCCAGATCAGTGCTAGACCTCTACTTTCCACTCCTGCTACAATGACCTGCTCGTGACAAGACCAGCGCCTCTGTAGAGGCACAGAGAAGCAGGCCACAGCAAACGTGGATGGCCACAGAGCACAGGAAAACCACACACACACACGCAGTTCTCATCCATTTCCCTAGTTTGTAACTTCAGTCAGATTAACTATTCTCTGGCCCAATTCTGTACTTTTACAATGCAGAGCACAGGCCTCTCCTATAACACTGGGACTGAATAAAATACTGCATGAAAGCAACTCTCCCGAGGTCACCATTATCCCAAAATTAGACCTCTTCTACAGGGTGACAAAAAACATAAAACATTCTTCACATTAAAAACAATTATCAAGCAGTGAAAAAGGAAACGGCCTAAATACTACGGTGGCGCAGATCTACTTGGGCAGTCATGTGGCTTTTCCTGATGTGAAGCAACATTCATCAGTACAGAAAAGCATCTGCAACCTAATGGATGCAGCGAGGGACGACACAATCCCACTTAGGTATGACTGAAGACTCTTATTTCTATGTATGTACATACAAAGATAAGCTTCTAATGTGTCAGGCTTTCCTGACAACTCAAAGATGAGCTAGCTGCGTGCATATCTACCAATGACAAATATGGACCTAATAAATGATAAGCTTATATATACCAAAGATAGACATGCTATTAACATTAGTTTAGATATTTTAAAACTTACATCTTTATTCTTGGTGACAATATTGCTAAATAATGACTTGTCAATGACACCATTATTTCTCTTCTGGCTTAAACGAAGACCAAAGAGTGTTCGAACTTCATTTTCATCCGGTTTGTAGGACTGGTCCATCTAGGGCACAAATTATAAAAGTTACAAGTACATCCATAGCCTCAAATTTTTCACACAAAAATTTTCATTCTTGCTGAGCATGGTGGTGTATGCCTGTAACTGGAAGAATGAGACAGGAGGACTTCAGATTAGAGACCAGCCTGGGTCACAGGACGTTCCAGGACAGCCTGAGCTAGAGCCAAACCACGTCTCAGAAAACATGACCAAACACTAACAAGATCTCATTCTTAAGTTACACCCATTTTCTTAACACAAACATGTGTGATGACATCATTTAGCATGGTACATAATACAATGATCATAATACAATGGCCAGGCACCAAAGCCACCAATCACCATGGGAACAGTTATGATCATCACAAGTTACCAGGCCTTCAATTCCTTTCTTGGATAAGCACACAGACCAGAATCTCCAGAACACGCTGAGGCACAAAATGTACATCCTATTTCTCTTTTCTTTCTAGAGAGTTCTTACAGAAATTTAGCTAATCTTTGAATTACAAGTTAAAACAGGGCTGGAGAGATGGCTCAGAGGGTAAGAACATTGTCTACTCTTCCAAAGGTCCTGAGTTCAATTCCCAGCAACCACATGGTGGCTCACAACCATCTGTAATGAGGTCTGGTGCCCTCTTCTGGCCTGCAGGCATACATGGAAGAAATGCTGTATACATAATAAATATTAAAAAATAACACAAAGTGGGAAAAAACAAGAATTCTAGCTTGCATCTGAAAAATACTCCCCCATGAAGAGGATCACTCTGTGAATGTGAGACGCTACTTTCATCTAACCGTGCAGATGGGAAATTTAAAAACACCACGCCCACGAGGACATTTAGGATGCTGTCCACTTTCTACAGGGACAGTACACACAGTCTGTGTCCCAGCTCTATTTCTCTTGGGACTTAGGTAAATTATATACAGATATTAGACAACCTGCAAGGGTGTGAAGCAGGGTACACAAATAAAAAGCAAAAAGAAGCCAGGCATGGTGGCACACGTCCTTTAATCCCAGCACTTGAGAGGCAGAGGCAGGCTGATCTCCTTAAATTGGAGGCCAGCCTGGTCTACAGAGTGAGTTCCAGGACAGTCAGGGCTACACAGAGAACACCCCCCTTCCCGCCCACACACCAAGGCAAAGAATCTTAGACCCAGCAAACCACCTGTATAAAAAATTACTAAGATTAACAATAAACGTGTCTGGTAGGGAGTGGTGGCACACCTTTAGTCGTATGAGTGGGAGGCAGAGGCGGGTGTATCTCTGAGTTCTCAGCCAGCTGAAGGGCACACAGTGAACCCTGTTTCAGAAACAGTAAAAATAGAGAAGTCTGATGTGCTGCTCTGAGTGTCTAGTCCCAGCACTCAGAAAGCTGTGAGTTCAAGGCCATCTTGAGGTACACAGCACAACCCAAACTCAGGCGGAAAAAAGACAAGGGGAAAAGGGATAGAGACAAAAATACCAAAGAGGGATACATTGGAAAGCTGTCTCTGTAAGAAAGAGATACACAGGGAAAAGGGCACAAAGTGAAACTGCAGACTAAATCGCCACCTAATGTAGGAACTGCCCTGACCTGAAGAACACAGTAGTTCCCATTTTTCTTTTTAGAAAGTATTTTCAAGGCTTCTTCTTCATATCCCGGGGCAACAATACCATCTGACACCTGTAAATACATTAAATGCAATTTTTATTTTTAGGAATCAGAGAACTCTGTAAAATAAAGCAACACTGAGCTGTCCTACATAATGCACCAGAACTATGAGGAGATTATTCTTTAGGGCTGACTGTTTTACAAGTTCTCCTATTTTCTGTGGTTAATCTTAGTTTTAACTAAGAACGAATGGATGATTCACGTTAACGCACGAGCCTTGGGGAAGAAAATCCCATTCTTATGCTAGTCTCTTCATGAAGGGGGCTTGAAGTCCACACCAGAGGGATCATGCTCCAGTCTGGCTCAAGAAAGCACAAAACAAGGGGGTGAGATCCCAGGTCTGTAATCTTGCAGCTAGAGACACAGGGGTCTCAGTGTCTCCATGAACTGCAAGAACAAGCCAGGCCAGCATGGCTGGGAAGGTTTAAGGTCAGAAAGAATCCCTAAAGTAGCTAAGCACCGCCATGCCACAGTCCCCCTACCCTCCTGATCACTGTCTTTGATTCCGCTCTAAGCTACCTCTCTGGTTGTGTCTCCCAGCAGCAATGGTGGGACGCGAACCTGGTACTAAACGATAAGGGTCAGTTCAAAATGCTCTGCCCTAGTCGTTCAGATCTCGAAGGGTCTGTAGCAAGGGCCATTATTTCTTCATTGTGCAAGATGGCTCTGCCTGCCTTCAGAACATTAACTTTGGCGCTAAGATGTACCCAGCAGGCAAGTGGTAGTGGCGTACACTTTTAATCCCAGCCCTCGAGAGGCAGAGGTAGATGTATCTCTCTGAGTTCAAAGCCAGCCTGGTCTACAGATGGCAAAATTGTCACACAGAGAAATCCTGTTTCGATCCCAGCGGGGAGGGGAATACACATCCAGCAGAGATTTAAAAGAACTAAACATATAATGAAAACCCCACCGAGATAAACATCCACCTGGAACCTTAAATCTCAAAATTAACAACAAAACGTCAAGGATTTGTGGTCCCCGTATAAATTCAGTATCCTACATGCTAAAGGGCTGGCACAATCACTGTAGGCTACAGTTTCTGTGAAGTCTAGGAACAAGTTATTCAGTTACATATGGATCAAAATACCTGAACCTCTACTCACTTCTCTGGAGATAATTTTTGCAGTAGGGACATCACACACATCAGACAATGCAATAAAATCACCAAATGAAGACATTCTATCAGCTCCTGTAAGTGAAAGTCAAGGGATTTATTGCATAAAAAAAAAATCCATGTGATCAAATCCATTATTTCCTCTCTGATCCCTTCCAGGTTCATAAACATGTTGGGGTATGTCATGTGCCTGCCCAACTCTGCTACTTGGATGTGGGCATACTATATGACGTAGAAACAAAAGCTTACCTCATTACCCAGAGTTAATCTATCAGTCAAATAACGAGTGAGAAGGGATTCATTAATTTTACCTTTCGAATTAGCACTTGGCTGCAGGTCAGCATTAACTAGTGAAGGAGGACAGGGCCTCCACCCACACAGAGCGTGTCTACAGAAGCAGGAGGCTGGAGGCCGTAGCACAAGCACAGCTGCTGCCTTTGGCTGTAACTGATAAACTGCTGCAAGGGTCTTAAAATCCCTCAGGAACTCGTACCTGCTCATCACTGCACCCAGGAATCTGGAATTTCTGGGTATGTAAAAATGCAAGCCAAACTAAAACTTAGCAGTTAGAATAAACACACAGTTTTTTATAATAAAAATGTATTCAAAGACCTAATCTAAAATAAAATGTACCAATCTCTTTGTTTCCATTTATTACATTAAGATACTAACATGTACTTTTTAAAATATACTCAGCTTAAGTATTATTAAAAACAAAGAAAGACAAATCTAAATCTTATAATGCAAGTTTAAGCAACATTATCTTATTCTATTAAGGATAAAGCAGTGCTCTCTCCTCTAACTGACAAAATCTCTCCTCTGACCTCTTGCTCGTGCGTATGCAGTGGCCACAGGTGTGAGAGCTGGATAGAGGTCATGGACCATGCAGACTCTGGCTTCATCCTCACTGAGTGGAGTCCCAACAGCAGCACCTGGCAAAGAAAGAAGGTAGAGTCAGCGACAGCAGCGGGTAGGGAAGGTACCAGCCCACCAAGAAGCAATGGTCGAGCACCCCCACCCCAACAAGGAGAAACAATGACCGAGCACCCCTATCCCACCATGTACACACACAATTTCTTAAAAAGCCATAAAATAATAATCTAAAACTTTGAATTGCTACTTTTCAAAACTGACACCAAAATATTTTTTTCAAGGGTTGGAGGTGTATCCAAGACCAGGGTTTCAATGCCCAGTGCCACAAAATAAAAAAAAGGAAACAAAACAAATTTTAAAAACTGGTATTTTTCAAAGACCTAGCCAGTATTTTTCAAACACCTATGGAGTATATTTTCTAGTACTTGTGTCAAAGTAAAAACGACTCAGCGAGGTAACTAAACACCAAGCACACCGGGCAGGGGCAGGGGACTTTCTCTCTGGCCTCTGAAAGCAGAGCTGAAGCTGACCACACTGGCATGGGTGGGGAGCTGGACCACTGCATTCCTGATTCTGCTCTGCTTGTGTCACTATCATTTTCTTCTTCCTCGCTCACCTCACTTTAGCACCCAGTAAATATCAGGAACAATTATGTGCTGGACTGCAAACAGAACCCACAGTATGGACAACCAAACCGTGGAATTAAGGACTTGAGTATAGAAACAAAGGAATATCTCATTCAATAAAAACAGGAACAGTCTCTTTGCTTGCTAAGGTACACTTCCAGCACAGAGAGGCAGTTAGCTGGTTCTATCACATTGAGTCACTTCATTTTCATTTCTAAACTTTCAGAACAACACTGCAAGAGCCAACAGTGCAGTGTCTCTGTCTCCTAACAAGGTGTGCGTACTATGTTACCAAGTTGTATATAGCTATATTGACACTATTATCAACAGACGTCCCAGATTATATAACTGGCATCAGAACTTACCATAGTCAGAAAAACTGGAAAGAAACAACAAAAATGCCCAAGCACTCTAGAGCGTGCTGGGGCAGGGCCCTCACCTGCTGGGCTGACATGCTTGAAGGAAGCTGCAGCCGGGATGCCCACTGCTTCCCTGAGTTCCTTCACCAGCTGCCAGGCATTCAAAGCATCACACAAGTTTATGAATCCAGGGGCTCCGTTGAGGACTACACATAGAAACACACACACATTAACAAGCAGGTTCGATAAGGTCATATTATGTACATTCCTTAAAAACAAATAGCATATCTAGGCTATACAACTTGCATGTGATTTTAGTCAAAAGGAGGAGAACCAAGAGTCTACAAGGCCCAGGTAGAGACAGAAGGTGGATCTCTCTGAGTATGAGGTCAGCCTGGTCTACATAGTGAGGACCCTGTCTCAAGAACCATCCCCATACCTCAAAAAAAAAAAAAAAGTAAACAAGAGGCAAAAAGATATCTATAAACATAGCAGTAACTTGGTTTCAAAAGGAGCGTAACTACACTCTTACGTCACCTTCAAAGACTTGCACCCCAACCCTGACCCCACCTGCAACTGCAGACTAGAAGTAAATAGTAAGAGACTTGGCAACAATGACAAAACCAAACATTTACTAAATTCATGTGACTAAGATTAAATATCTATGGAAACTACAGTGACAGTATATATCACACGTCAGAAACCTTTTCAATGGGCTTTGGTAATGGGGCTGTCACCGCCATTTCTGCGGCTATAAATAGCCTCTCACCAATATTCTTGCAAGCAAAAACAACAAAAATCAGTAGCTGACCAAGCTGGGCTTTGGTGGTACCTGTGTTCTGTGTGTTGGTCTGTTACTGGCTGCCTATCTGGAGTGAGTACACATGCTGACATTTCCCGAGGAACAGTGTCACACAGCAGAAACCCACAGTTCTGATTCTCAGTTCAAAGAATTATTCTTCACTGTCATTTCTTCCTTTTGAATTAAAATTACTTATTATATTTTGTGTGCATGTGTGTGGGGATGCAGAAGCAAGTGTGCTGCTAGAGGACAATTCTGACCCGGGACTAACTGCAGTCACCAGGCTACTGTAACAATACCTTTGCCCCTGAATGAGCACACTGGGCCCTCAATGCTATTTAATTTAAGGTCACACTTCTATTCTGGCCCACTACAGCTGTAACATTTGGCAAACAGACAGTGGCTCCTGACCCACTGTAATACACAGGTTTTTCCCTGCTGCTTTCTCCACTGCTTGAGCGACCAATTACAGCGGTGCCACAGGACTGGTCTGATGGGCCCTCTTTTGGGAAATCTCAGGAGTCCCACCTGATCTCAAGTCTTCCAAAACATCAATGTCCCCCAAACTGTATCTCCAACTCCAGCTTTGTGTATCAGCCAGGACCTGTGGTTTGTCAGGCAGTGCAAGATGCACCACTCTGACACCTCGTGTGCACGGTCCAACGGGAGCCTCGATTTTGGATGATTAAAAATGAGGTATTAAGTAATTTAGTTTATATTCTGATGGGAGTAACTTCAGACACAACACAGAGAAAACCAGGTGTCTAGACGCAGCACACACTCCCTACACTTTACCTGTGATGGGAAGCTTGGGTTTCAGTGTATACAGCTGGGCAGGAGTCTGATGGGGGTTCATTCCATACCGCAAGGGCATCTGGGAAATTCCTTTACTGTATTGCTTTCTGAAGTAATCTGAAATTGCTTCATCATATTGTGCAGTATGAGTAAATGCCTATAAAAAGCCGCATTTCGTGAGATATTAGGAACACTTCCAAGGATGCTTTAAGGTACATAGCCTTATACCCACAACCCACCCCAAATAAACCTAAATAGTACAGCTAACCTTTCTGCCTTTGAATCTGACAGAATACTCCTAATTTTTGACCTCTCCGTGTTTAACAAAAGGACCGAAGTCACAGGCAGAGTGCAGAAAGCTGTATTTAGGAGACCTGCATACTGCTTGAACTGGCACTCGGATAAGACAGCCATTGCTTGACAGGATTACAGAATACACCCCACCTTCAAGGCCAAGTGGCGCCTGGTCTCCAGGGAGGTGTCCTTACTATCAGAGCCCTGCATCTCTGCAGCCACTGCCACATAGTCCTCTGGTTCACACACGACTGTCACTCGAGCATGGTTTTTGGCTGCGGCTCTCAGGAGGGTCACTCCGCCTTTGAAGAACAAATACATTATTTTTCTTCAGCATTTTGCTTTCAGTTCATGAGCTCTCCCGTCACTGTGCACAAGACCTTAATTTCTGACTTAATAGGGGAAAATTAGCCCATATGAATACACAAAATAATTAGTTTAAGTTTAATATTTTCTAAGCCAGATGGGGTGATACACCATGAGAATCTGTGCACTTTGGAGACTGAGGCAGGAGGACCACAAGTTAGAGGCCAGCCTGGGCAACACAGCAAAGCCCTGTCTCAACATGAAACAAAACCACGAATACTCAATAATGAAAAGAAAAACAAAATCTCAAAGAGAATTTAACCTCCACCCTTGTCAATTCTGAAAGGTTTATCCCGACTTACCAATGTCAATCTGCTCAACAGCTGCCTCGACAGTTACATCCGGAGCAGCCACCGTCTTCACGAAGGGGTACAGGTTACAAGCAACGACCCTGACAAGCAAGGAGAGCTAGCTGTCACTGGACAGCTCAAGCTTCGTCACTTACAGCTTGTCAGGAACAAAGCAAGTTACTGAAGATGTGACCAAACCCACGAGGATCTAAAATATAAACCGCTAGCCTGACATTTTCAGATTCCTTCTTAAAGATTGACTTTATGTTTGTGAGGATTTGTCTGCATGTGTTTATGTGTTTATGTACTCATCATACATGCAGTGTCCGTGGAGGTCACTGGACATCAGACCCCTACGACCTAGTCAAACTGTTGTGAGGGACCACGTGGGTGCTGGAACCCAAGCTTGGGTCCTCTACAAGAACAGCAAATGCTCTTAACCACTGAGCCACCTGCCCAGCCCCAACATCTCCTTAGAAGTTACATAGAAAAGAGGTCTGGAGGCTCTACACTCGTAGAACACAGAATCAGCACATGCTCTGGACAGGGTTAATGTCGTCCTCACCACACCAGCCTGCGAGCTTGAGGCCTGTCTGGCCTTAGCTAACTGTTAAACCTGTACGGTTTAACATGAAAGTCCCAGCTGGTGGAGACCAGTCCAATGGAAGGAGAACTTCCCAGTTCACTGATCAGGACTGTTGGCAGGGCCCATAGGTATGGATCCATTTGGAACTTACTTCTGTTCCTTCAAGGTGACTGTCAGTAGTTCAAATAACAGATCAGAGAGTTCTGTTCTCTCAAGGTTATTGTCAACAGGTGTGACTAATATCCAGACCTGGTATTTTTAGGTATTAAGAAGTAGATCTCTTTCTATCTCAAACAAAAGTCTAATGATACAACTAGGTTCCTACTTTAGTAGGGAGATAACAATGGATTCCACCCAGGGAGTGGAGCCTATAGAATAGTTTGGTAATGTGAGCAGTACTTGTCTTGCTTAACTAAGTATGTAACTCATAATCCTTCAACTGGTCTGTTCATTCCTTGCATCATGTGAATGCAGTTGTTTTTTTTTAATCTTACTTCTACCTTTAGGGATCAAGGCAGAGTTACCTTAGCACCTAAAAATTAATTAGGGGCTGGGAAGATGGCTCAATAAAATAGGGTATTTGCTGCCAAGACTGATGACCTGAGTTTGATACCTAGAGCCCACATGGTAGGAGAGAACCAACTCCTGTGGGCGGTCCTCAGACTACGACAAGCCACTACAGCATGTGTGCCTCATAAATAAATAAGATCTTTAGAAAATAAATTAATGTAAGGTTAACAGAAAACAAAAGCCACAAGATTACATCAGGGCATACAATGTTTAAACAATTCAGCATCTACCCAAATTTTTTTTTTAGAAAAAGACATCAATAAATTCAGCATTGTAGAAACAACTCAACATGATAAAATGTAATAAAAATCTAATATTATACTTATTGATATCTTAGAACCAATATTTTCCTCCTAAGATTCAGAAATAAGAATATTCACTCTTAACCATTTCTATTCAATATTCTGTCACATTTTAGCCACAGAAATGTATAAAGAAAATTAAAGGAAAGGCATCAGGGTTGACACCATGTGGGATGATGCTTATACACAGAGAAAATCCTCAGCTGTTAAGAAGAAAATCTATCAGCCTTAATAAATGAGTCCAGGAAGGCCGCAGGTCTTATGATCAATATACAAAAATCAACTGTAATAATACACATTAGTAAACAACAATCAGGACAGGAAATTAAGAAAACAATGCAGTAAAGACAGCACTAAAGAAAATCAAAGACTGAAGAATAAAATTACAGAAGTGTCAGACTGACATACTGTAAACACAAAACAATGTTGAAAAAACTAGAGGGAAGAAATCCCTCATATTCATCTAGACTAACTCATAAAAGAGCAATTTGCTGTTGAGATGACAATGAGGCCCCGCATTCATCTACACAACCTACAGACGTCCCACTGCCTTTCCTACAAGTGTTGCACAGCAACCCTACACTCAAGGGAGAATGCAAGGGTCCCTGAATGGCTCCAACAGAGCAGGAGGACCCACAGCTCTCTACTTCAGATTTTACTGCAGATCTACCATAGGAGTGTACACTGGCATAACCACAGAGACCAGGGATGCCTGAGCCACATGGAGGAAAGAACAGCCTTCAACAGATAATGCTGGGACAATGGACGGTCCCAAATGCATCAAATTAGATCTCTGCTCACACCTCTCCGTATATAAAAATTAACTCAATCAGCAGGGCTGGGTGTAAAATGGCACACCCCTGCGATCCCAGCATTTGGTAGATTAAATCAGGAGAGGCTAGTCTCAACCACGCAGTTGAGATTCTGTCTAAATACAAACAAGCAAAACCCTAGAATCACAAACTCAACCGCAAAATCAGAAGAAAAAAAAAAACAAACCAAAACCCTTCATCACCACAATGAGGTGTCTTAGGTATGACAGCAAAGGCACGAGGTCTAAAAGAAAGAAACTGGACATCATCAAAGTAATCAAAACCGTGATGGTTGAATGACAGACACCACTGAGCAAGAAACAACCCACAGAACGAGAGAATCGTGAGAAATCAGCAACCAAGTGAGACCGCACACCACTTAGTGCAGGAGTGTTGGGGGGAGGTACAGACGTAGGCGGGAGACGAGAGTGTTCTAACAACGAATATGGTGACGGTTTCACAACTTCTTTTGAATATACTTAAGACCATCGGACTGCACCCTTTCAATAGGCCGAACTGTACAACACACAATCCAAACCTCAATAAAGCAACCGTGGATGCTTAAAGAAAACAGTATCTTTGTTTTTATGCAGTGACGTTTAAACCTTAACTTTTGAAAAGCAAAGATTGTGGGATGTTTGCTCCAAATGCATGATAACAACAACTAAGTATAGGTTGTTTCAACTTAAAATTACATAGTTTGGAAACATGAATTTGGTAAAATTAAAATGCCCATACATATGCAGACAATGCACACAGTGTTTACATCGTGAGCACAGGAGAAGACCACTCCCCCACAGTGATCACAGGAGAAGACCACTCACCCACACAGTGAGCACAGGAGAAGACCACTC